CTGTCTGACACTGAAAATCCGTTGTATTGTAAAATTCGTTATATCAAAATTCGCTGTAGAAAGAGTTGACTGTATATAGAATATTTTGCATACTTTGAAACACTTTAATTTTGATAATATTACTAATGATATTAATGAAGACGATAGTTACGATGACAATATTAATGATAATATTAATGATAATTCATATGATCAAATTAATCAAATGCTATTGCAACATCAACATCATATCACAGTAAGAAATAATTTGCCAAATTATCTTGATCAACTAATATTTGAAAATGATGATAAATTAGAACAAAGTATTGCAAATAATTCATTTTTTTGATATTATTAATCGTGAAGTACAACAAAATAATAAAATAGATTGTTTTTTATTATGCAACAAATAGAAATAACTTGTGATAAATATTTATAATAATTGTATATAAGCTATATTGTAAAAAAATATTAATGTACTTTTTATTTTTATTTTTTTTAGCTTTATTTGATGAATATACTCAAAAAGAATACCAAAAATCAAACAATAAGGCAGCAAATAACCTAAAGAATTTTATAGTTGAGACAGAAAACAGTCCAATTGAATTGTTAACTGCTATGAGATATAAACGAATGTATACTAGTATAAAACTAATTAGAACATTGAGGATTAGCACTTCTTGCTCAGTGGTATAAGCCGCGAGCCCCTATAAGCTAATGTTTCATTACACAGCAATAGGCCATGGTTCAGGTATCGTGCGATACATAAAACTATATGATTTTCTATAAGGAATTTCTTTGTAACTGAACAAGTGGGCGTATATACTAATATGCGTTAGATTCTGGTTGATCGATCTGTCAATCAATGTTGATCATGCCTAATCACTGCACGGCGTTAGAACATGGGAAAGCAAATAAAGCCAGGGATTGACAGAAACTTGGCCTTCACTGATTGGTCTGTAATGGATACAGTCTCCCTTCTCAACCGGCAGGATCCCTTATTTCCATAGGCTTGTGTATATAAGTGCATATGTTTATTAATTAAGGAAGTGATTGACCAGAAATTAGTAGATTAGATCAATGGTGATAATAAACTGCATTGCATGCTGCAGCATTGGCTAATCGAGCATATCATTAGGTCTGAGGTTAGGTTCAATTTCTAAGATGTTTGTCGATATGGCCTGATCATCACCCCCATTAGTTCACCATTTGGGCAAATTTTGTGGTAATAATTCCATGAACCCTGCGGCATTAATTGGGTTAAGAGTATATCCTAGCAAGGTATATAGTGTAATGGATCCCTCAGTCCTATAGTGATATGTGGTCCCAGATTGCTAGGAACCGGCAGGGGGGTCAAATCTTCCTAATGGGCTTAATTCTAGCAATAGCACCACTAAGAACGATGCCAATATTTGGACCAGTTACAATGGTGTGGGTTGCCAATGAATATATGAGCTGGCGGAGACCTAAGGATGAGGCCGGCTGATAGGGTACTTAAGATCCTGGGTCAAATGTTTCATCCAAACACTACGTACTGAAATTAAAAAAAAAAAAATAAATAAACAAAAAAGAAAGAACTCTTTCTCCTCTTTTACAATGACACTTAAGAGAAAGAACTCCAAACAATGAGGTCACTCAGCATCTTCACATACAAACAACAATACCTCAAAAAGTTCCACCAAAAAATAAACCCAACGTAAACCAAGGATAATATCTCAACACCAAGTAGCTCAACTACTGTCGTATCTCCAGAAACTATGGAAGTCGACCCAAAACCCCTTGACAAAGGAAAAAACAAAGAAGAAAATATCTTTCAAACAACGCTCAATGTCGACGAAGTGTACGACCTCTTTGAAAATATTCTTGATAATGATAACAAGTCATCACAAGCTTTTAACTGACCAAAGGCTGCTTTTCACGTGTCTTTCCCACTCAACGATACTCCTAGGAAGTTACCTTAACAAAAAGTTTCCTTTGTTGTCAACCTGCTCTTTGACGCCTATGATTCGTTCACTAGTGCAGTAGCTACAAAGAACCCTATGAACCAATCAGAATGCATTGTCAAAATCTCCTTCCATAACAAAGACCACTGAGATCATACATGTACAGTTAATTTACCTGGTATGGAAAATCGCACGTTCTCACCCTTGGAGATCATAACACAACATTCATATGTCCCAAAGCAATTGATCAAGGTCACAGAGATACCTTTTGATGCCACCGAACACAGAATCAAGACGATTTTCTCTAAATTCAGAAAGATCGTTAGATTTTTTATGAAAACCAAGAATCTTTGGCAACAAGCCACAATCACTTATAACATCGACACGGATTTCAACGCATTAAAAGGCAAATACAGGGTTTTTATACTTAACGATATGGTTAGATGCTACATGTGCACTTATCTTGTGAGAATATTCTTGCTAGGTCGAAATTTTCAGCCAAACTTGCTGGTCTCTCTCATTTCACTAACGGTAAATAACTCACTGATATAGGACACATGATCAATGCCCTATCTTGGATTATTCCCAAAGCAAGATCGAATTACCATAATCTCTAGCACACTTTTTTTTATTTCAAATCAGCTGATGATTTTGAAGCTGCGATCAGCAACGAAAATCTTACGATTGATAATAAACACGTGACTTAGACAGAGTCGAATGCTAAACTATGTGCTATCTGCTTCTCACCCAACCATAAAGTGAACGATTGTCCCAGAAAACGCAAGTCGCCTTTCGACCGCAATATGCAACAACTATACCAACGATTTCAACCTACACAGTATAGTAATTACAAAGCTCCTATGAAAGTCATCAAAGGTGTAGTGAGCCCAAATGTCACCTTCGCTCACGTGACAAAAACATCAGAACCCGAAAAAAACAAAATGAATCAACAACAAAAAAATGCTGATAGAGCCCTCCTGGACACCAAAAAAATCTTGACAAACATGGTGCATCAGAACCACTAATATCATCGTGGTCTGATGATATTCCTGACGACCTATATAACACGACCTACCAACATCCAGATACTTATACCTCCTCTAATAATGTCAATAACGGTACTAAAAAAGGAGGCTCAATACACGCGAATAATGATGAGGACTTTAAATCCTTTGTAAGACAACAATTTTCAGCTCTAAATGAAGATATGTGTGAATTGATAAAGAATTTAAACTTCACCATCATGAGAGTCAAAGCAGTTGAAGATTCTCTGCAAATTAAAGTCATCACTCCTCTTGAAGCCGACCTGAAAAACTGTGATCCTGAATCTATGAAATATGATGAAGTTGCTCTCTCCGTTGATACATCAACATCTATCATTATCCAACAACGAAAAACTTAGGAATCTCAATGAAATGCATCAGCACAGATTGAAATCTTTCACAACTACAGTTAACACCTTAGTAAAATTATGTGCTACCTTTCAGTCCATTCTCATACAGAACAATATGCTTCCTAAGAACTTAGCCAATACATTATTTCCACTCGGAGATGCTTTCGATAGTGATGTTAGAAACTATCTCAAGAAATTACCATCCTTTTAAATCTGTTCCTAATGAATACTGTTCCTACAGATAATTTTACACAAGATGTATACCTCAACACAAATAACAACTTTTCTACTTATTTCTTTCGCAACACATAACGTTCGCTCTTTTACTAATGCTGCTAAACAAAATTCACTTATCGAATTTTATTCCTCCTTGAAATTAGATATCATTGGTCTTCAAGAAACTAATTTTTCTCAACCTGCAATCCGATCCTTTAATAGCACATTTTCATCAATATATACAGGCTTCTTTGGACTGCCCCCAGATTCTCACAGTCAAAAAACTGGTTTCGGCATCAGATTATTAGTCCGTTCTTATTTGGCAAATCATATTTTTCATCACGAATCCAAACACAACAGTATTATAATAATCGATTTGCAATTCAACAACAAATAAAAACTGAGAGTAATTAACTGCTACCACACACCGGGCAACTTCTCTCATAGAAAACCCATACAAACTGACCTCATTCGATACATTAGAGAGGCGATTTCTAATAATTACCACCTTTTGCTCTTTGGGGATTTTAACATAGACATGGATAATCCTAAGTTACACTCACAAGACAAAAGTTTCTTTTCTCGACTCGACGATTTGCATTTATTTGACACGTTCTCAGTCAAATATGACTACTCTCAAATTAATTATCCTACTCATCATAGTTCTCTGTCGAAGTCACGAATTGATTACATTTGGTCCTCAGCTGAAGTTGTTTCTCATTTACGAATTGCGAAGTCTTAGCTATTGATCTTTCTCTGTCTGACCATTCGCTGGTCACCTTTAGTATTGAAAATTTCTTGGATATTAGAAACAATAAAAGGAATATTCCTTCCAAAAAGGTTTATGATTATTATAAGATGACTGATGATAAATGGGAAACTTTCACCAATAAAGTAGATGCTTTGGCTAATGAATGCTACTTGTGAAGCTTCACTAACAAATTCTTATTCAATTAGCATAAACTGAATCGATACTGGGACCTTCTGCAAGAATGCATTATAAAAGCAGCAGATTCTAAGATTCCTTCACAT